TGGGTTCAATCCCCAGCACCAAACAAGAAGTTTATAGAACTTTAATGTTACTTCCTACATATGTAGAGATCCTTTTAATTTTTGAAGAACTGAGTTTTAATTATAAGTAAAAATAGTTATTTGCTTTTGAAAAGGAGCATTTGATTTTTTTATAGTTAACTTTTTCAGATTATGGGTTTAAAAATAAACTTGCTACCTTGGGTTATGGCTTTCTTTCTGCACTCTGCCCTTTGGACTAGAAAAGTGAACCCAACCCTGATTTCTGAGATGATTTAAGCTTTCTGTGAAAGATAATGCTGGGACACACCCATGCTGCTGTCACAGCCGTGTGACCAGGATGGTATTGTCCACAGACTACTTCTGTGAGGGACAGGAATTAAGTGGAGTAAGAAACCCAGGGACAGAAATACTGAAAAGTGGAATAGTTCTTAAATACTGAAACCTACACCATGGTTTACTTTAGGGTTTCATAGGGTAAGACATTCATGGCCTGTTTCTCTTATCTCTTCCAGTTATGCTTGTGTCAGATATCCCTTGCTTTCCCTGTTTTTTAATTTAAGGATAATGTTGATAAGAAACAATTTATGGATTTTTTTCCTCACCATTATTGTTTGTTTGTTTTTGGACACAAGGTCTAGCTGTGTAATTCAGGGTGACCATGAACTCACTATGTAGCCCAGGCTGGCCTTGAGCTTATGGAAATCCTCTTGCCTCAGCCACTGACTTTTAGGACTACAGTTGTGCACCTGGCTCTTTGCAACTTTAATAAAACTTCAGACAGATTTTTTAAAACTCTGAAAATTTGCTGGGATGCTTACCTGTCTATGATTCCCAGTCAGTCCATTTTTAACATCTTTAAAGTAGTCTCCTGGTTGTTCTTGGCTACCCAGTATTTGGTTTTAGGTTTGCTTGTGAAAATAAGCAGCAAGAACTGCTGGTAAAGTTCCTGTTCACACCTCCTACTGGTATTTAGTGCCTGCCCTGCCATGGGGTAATAATCAGCCTCAGGGAAGATTCTGGGGTTAGCTGTAGGTTTGCTCAAAATAAACTCTTGGAAGGACAAGGCTGGTTCCAGGAATGGTCAAGTGCATTCTTTAAGGTCCTTAAGGAGTTTTGTGTCCCCAGGGAGGGCTGAAGAGGCTGTGTGCAAGGGTTAGTGGAGAAACCACTGTTCTTCATCTGGGTGGAGGTGAAGTGGCTGCTCCCTGTCTGCAACTGCTGCGGTCAGGAACCTCCATGGCCTGGGCTCCAGGGTGACTTCTCCTTTTCAGATGCCTGTGGCTGGTATTTACAGAAGCCAAACAGCTTTCATCACCAAGGTTACCATTTACCACATGACCTTCAGGGGAGAAAAATACGAATAATCCTCTCAACATCTAAATGACAAATATGCAGAGTATTCCAGGCCAGGTCCAGGGAAATGTACTGAAGGAGAGACAAGCCAGTCCTGTGGTGCATACCTGGTATCCCAGCTACTCCACAGGGTGAGTGAGACCAGCCTGGGCAACTTAGCAAGACCTCAGCTCAAGAGAAAGAAAAAGAATGCCAGAGTATGATGTTGCCCACCTATAATCCCAGCACACTAGGAGGCTGCAGCAGAAGCAGTGCAAGTTGGAGGCCAGCCTGCACAGTTTAGTGACTTAGATTCTGTCACAAAATAAAAAGTAAAAAAAGCGCATGGCCTTGGGCTCAATCTCTATCTCTCTCTCTCTCTCTCTCTCTCTCTCTCTCTCTCTTGCGTGCGCGCACGATACTAGGCTGTGGCAGGGGTAAAATTGTCTGCTAGACCTTTCACCTTTCAACACTCCTCATCTGTGGATGGTGGTTTTAAAATCTGTAAGAGTTCTAAAGGTGCAAAATGGGAGCTCAAGTCATTTTATCAGATCTTGGTTGTATGTTGTTAACCCACTTAAGCCCGTGATGATTTTGTGATAGGCTTTTTGTAATCTTACAATTTATGCTTGAGGGCAGCTATGCTGGGTTTCCCCCCTTTCCTCTTGTTTGGGGACATAGAGGTTTATGGAGCCGGGTGTGGTTCAGTGGCTTAGCACACCACATAACCCTGGGTTCCATCCCCAGCACTGAAATGAAGAAGGAGGAGGAGGAGGAGGAAGAAAAATAGGAGGAGGTTGTTGTTATTTAAGTTTGAGGCCTCTTCTCTTTCTGTGTTATCACAAAAGATGGTCTGTTGAAGATAAATTGGCAGAGAGAGTTTAAAGCAGGAATCTTGGTAGAAGGGAAAGAATAGGAGCTCTGGGGAAATGCAGAGTTGAAGTAGAATCCTAGCTGTATCTGTAAGAGCTGTAGGACCTTGTACCAGTAACCTCATTTCTGCCCTTTAATTTCTCCATTTGTAAAGTGGATGTAGTGGCCACTGCATGCCACTCCTCTGAGGCCAGCATGATGGGGCTTCTGAGTGCACATAGTGCCAGCTATGCCACAGGCGCTGTTGAGGTTTCTGCTTCCCTCTGCCCCTTCCTTCTCTGTGTAGGAGCCGAATGGGGGAGGAGGGCAGTGATCAGCCCTGAGAAGAGGCTGTGGCTGAAGATGAGAGAGGAAGTTGTACTCAGCCCCCAGCTTTTAACTAGGTCACTGGAAAGAGCATCTACGTGTGGGTTCCGAGTGTGAGGGTGACCCGCAAGGGCGGTCTGCAGGCCAAGTGTTTAGGGTTGTTTGTGCCCTCATGGTCACTCGGCTCGAGTTCACCAGAGGAGAGGGATCCCGGCTGGATGGTGAATGCCAGGCAGATTTCCTTTTGCAGAAGTTTGTCGGTCTGTGGAGTAGGACCAGTATCATGTCATCCACCATGACTTAAAGTAGTTTGCAGATGACCAAGTGAAATACTTGAATGATGTTTGAAATATTCTTTTTTTTGTATTATTAAGCCAGAGGAAAATGTCTTCTTTTCAATTTCTCATTTTTAAAACCTGTGGTAAAATATATGCTTTTTTTTTTTGTACCAAGAATGGAACTCAGGACCTTGCACTTACCAGGCAGGCACTTGTGCCACTGAGCTATATTCCTGGCCCAATATGTGTAATGTAAAATGTAACCTTTTTTATGTGCATGACCCCCCCACCTGCAGTGCTGAGGGTCAAACCCACGTTTACCATCTGAACTGTGTCAAAGGTACAGTTCTGTGGTGACCTACACTCCTTCACATGGCTGTTCAGTCACGCAGCTGTCATCTCCAGAACTTTTTCATTTTTTCAACTTGGACTGGAGTTCACAGCCCCTAAACATTAGTTCCCCCAGCCCCTCCCTCCTCAACCCCGCAGTGATCCTCTTTTCGAGCTTGGTGAATTTTACTACCCTAGGCACCCCATATAAGTGAAATCAGATGGTATTCTCATTTTATGAGTCTTACTCTGTTTTTTTTAAACTCCATTTTGTAGGTTCTGTTACTCCCTGTCAGACATTATTCTTTACTCTAAACTCATGATTTTCTTTGAGATTTATACATAAATGTATATGTTTCCTTTTATTTTTTATTTATTTATTTGCGTTTGTTTTTTGAGACAGAATCTCACTGTACAGTTTAGGCTGGCGTTGAATTCACTATACATAGTGAATATGTAGCCTGTAGCCCATTTTGGCCTGCAGCTTGCTGTGATTCTCCTGCCTCAGCCTCCCAAGTGCTGGGATTACAGGTATGTACCACCACGCCCAGCTGCGTACCACTTTTCCAGCTTTTGTTTATGATCATTGCAACCTTACTGAGGAAAAACTAGGTCACTGGAAGTGATTTAAATGTTTACTTACTGCTGGGGATATAGCTCTGGGATATACTGCTGGGGATATACTTACTGCTGGGAATATAGCACAAGCGTCTGCCTGGCAAGGACAAGGTCCTGAGTTTGATTGCTGGTGCCAAAAAAAGAAAGAGAGAGAGAGAGAGAGAGGACAGAGGGGGAGAGAGAGAGAGAGAGAGAAAGAGAGAGAGAGAGAGAGAGAGAGAGAGAGAG